CTATTTGCCCCCCCCCCCTTTCCTTACATCTTCCGGTACGCATAGAATTGCGTCCATTCTAATCATAAATTTTTACAAGTATTCCAAAAACAAGTTACAAATCTCTTCTCTAAATGTCGGTCCACAATAAGGATTTTTTAAGCCCTAAGCAGTAAGAAATAGACCAATCGAGTCGAATATGAGGAGAATAATCGATTGTAATTGGTCAATATTTTACGGTGTAAGACTTAAAATCCTGATTGTGGACCGATTCTGTCTAAAATATTGTAGCATAAGTGATGACAAGCATATATTTGTCGTTTATTAAGAATTAATATGCAACGTTGAGAATACAAAATATTTGCCGTATGTTTATATAGTGTTTAAACATATATTTCAGGGTTGCAACATACATACATGTATGTATACTGGCGCGCGGCCTTGATTGTTTAGACTAGTTTATAGTTTAGAATATACGACGTATATACAGTACGCTGTGCTTAGGACTCCCGCATACTTTCCATAATGGTAATCATAAGACATGATGTAAGATTTAGCCAATGAATAAGCGTATAAAACAATTCGATCAATTATAAAGATTTCTTCATGCCTTTCTACGATTGCTTGAATTTTATACTCGTTCATTGGCTCATTCTTAAGTCTTACGATTACAGTTATGGAAAAGACCTTGTATATTTCATATGAAAATGGCGTCCCGGTCAAATTGGCTGAAATTTTGATATGATGTAGGTTTTGACTCACTGATCAAAAGTATCAATGGTCATCAGGTCAAACAATTAATACTTTTAGAGTTACAACGGCTCAAATATCCAAAATTGACCTCCATCGTCAGGCTATATGATGTTGTTAACTTTTAGTAACTCGAGTTGAACTCAGATTAGATATATTATTTGATATATTGAAATCAATCCGGGATGTTTCCAAAACGTTTTATTCACTTGCAAAAAAATGAATATTCAATATAAGAAATTATCTGGTTTATTTAACATTACGTATATAAAGGATAATCCGACAAAGAAAAGCGAGAGCTAACGTCTAAACTTGAAAAGGCGCGAGGCAGTTCTGCCAACTTACAAATAAAAGTAATTCTTACATATTCTTATATATTCGAAATATAAAAGAGTGACAAATTGTTTATTACAACACCCGCCCTCAATTTGTCATGAGTATTAGCTTAAGTTATCATTATCTTTGGCGAGTTTCACAAATTAATAAAAAAAATATTTATACATTTATCTGAATAAAATTATAACGCATTTAAACTTAAACCTAAACTTTCTCTGAAAATACAAAACTTAGTTCTACCGCAAGGGCGATCTCTTTTCTTAGCAATTAAGTAGTTTCCTGATTTAGCCACTTTTATTTTGACAGGCTCTTTTAATTTTCTAATGTTGTACATTTTACCTTCTTGAGATGTCAAGTGTTCACTTGCACCAGAGTCCAAATACCATTTTTCATTTGGAGATTTTACATTTTCTTTCAAATCTTCACACGTCGACAAGAAAGTGAAGGCTGCTTTGGGCGATTGTTTTTCCTGAGATTGAAATACATCTTCCTTCTGCACCATGAGCTTGACTGGAAGTATTGAAAGATTTATAAGGCTGTTGTGGTTTATTATTCTGAGCTCTCTTGTGACCTGGTATACCACAATTATGACATGTGTAAATAAAAGGTTCATTTCCTGATAAGTTGTATTTCTGCTGATTCTTAAGATTCCCCTGATTCCTGAAATTTCCTTGTTGATTCCCAAAATTCTTTTCTTTTATTCGAGCAACAAATACTGAACTTGGCTAAATTTTATTCTTTGGCTTGGGTTTCCTCGTTCCTCGTTTGGCCTCTTCGAATCTACCTTTAACAAAAGCTAAAGTTGGTCTTGACTTACGATTTCTATGGCTGTCACAACTGCATGATATTCAGATTGTTAGTAACAAATGGCAGATGATATTATTTTCTTCCATAGTTGAACCTAACAACCTTAAGTCCCTTACGATGCGATCAAAGAGTAACCCCAAAAATGCCCTGTATTCTCGCCTTCAATTCCGGACTTTATTTTGGTGAAAAATGATAGTAAACTATGAGACACTAATTCTCTGAAATTTTCAAATGGAGCATACTCTTTGTTGGCAAATTATGAAGCCTCAA